CAAAGAAGGGGAAACTGAGAACATCCTGGAACAAGCCTTCCAAGTGGTCATCCAGAAAATTTCCTCTATCTGGCAAAAGAGGCAATTATCCAAATGTAAGAGATCCAGAGAACTCCTGCAAGGTATTATGTGAGAAGATCATCCCCAAGACACATAGTATCCATCTCCATAAGGTAAGCGTGAAAGAAAAAAAACCCTAAAGACAGCTAGAGAGAAGGGATAGTCTACCTACCAGAGTAAAGAGACAAGCGACAATCCACAGAATGGGGAAAAAAATATTTGCAAGCTATACATCTGACAAAGGCCTAACATCCAGGATCTACAAGCATCTCAAATGAAGTGACTGGAAAAAAACATCCCCATTAAAAAGTGGGCAAAGGCCGGGCTCAGTGGCTCAGCCTGTAATCCTGCGCTTTGGGAGGCTGAGGTGAGTGGATTGCCTGAGCCCATGGGTTCGAGACCCGCCTGGGCAACTTGGCAAGACCTCATCTCTACAACAAATCAAAAAAGTTAGCCAGGCATGGTAGCACGTGCATGTAGTTCCAGCTACTTGGAAGGCTGAGGCGGAAGGATCACTGGAGCCCAGCAGGTCGAGGCTACAATGACTGGGAGCCGCCAGTGCACTCCAGTCTGGACGACAGAGTGAGACTCCAACTCAAAAAAAAAAAAAGTGGGCAAAGGTCAGGAACAGACACTTCTCAAAGGAAAACATTTAAGCAGCCAACAAACATATGAAAAAATGCTCAGCCTCACTAATCATCAGAGAAATGCAAATCAAAACTAAAATGAGATACCACCTAACAACAGTAAGTATGGCTATCATTAAAAAGTCAAAAAGCAGGCCGGGCTCGGTGGCTCAGCCTGTAATCCCAGCACTTTGGGAGGCCGAAGTGAGTGGATTGCCTGAGTCCGCGGGTTCGAGACCTGCCTGGGCAACTTGGTGAGACCTCATCTCTACATTAAATAAAAAATTAGCCGGGTGTGGTAGCGCGCGCCTATAGTTCCAGCTACTTGGAAGGCTGAGGCGGAAGGATTACCGGCGCCCAGCAGGTCGAGGCTGCAGTGGCCAGGAGCGGCCACTGGACTCCAGTCTAGGTGACAGAGTGAGACTCCAACTCAAAAAAAAAAAAGTCAAAAAGCAAGGCCAAGCACAGTGGCTCATGCCTGTAATCCCAGCATTTTTGAGGCAGAGGCAAGAGGATTGCCTGAGCCCATGGGTTCGAGATCAGTCTGGGCAACTTGGTGAGGCCTCATTTCTACAATAAATCAAAAAAAATTAACCAGGCATGGTGACGCATGTTCCAGCTACTTGGAAGGCTGAGGCAGAAGGATCACCTGAGCCCAGCAGGTCCAGTTTTTGGTAGGCTGCGGTGGCTGTGAGTGTGCCACTGCACTCCAGCCTGGGCAACAGAGTGAGACTCAAAAAAAAAAAAAGCTTAAACCTATGTTGTTACAATTAGAAAGCAAATTTCTTTTTTGTCATATGTTTTGCTATTTGTTTTACATGACTGTAAGAGTTTGAAAATTAGATATCTTGGAAGACTGAGGCAGAAGGATCGCCGGAGCCCAGCATGTTGAGGCTGCGGTGGCTGGGAGCGGCCACAGCACTCCAGTCTGGGCGACAGAGTGAGACTCCAACTCAAAAAAAAAAAAAAGAAAATTAGATATCTTATTTTAACTGTAACTGGTGGTCGCTTTAATGTTTTTCATAAATATTTTAAAAATCTTTATTTACTTTTCTATAGCAAAATTAACAGCAAAATAGTATAATTTCTCCTCCTGGGATAATAGTGCAGATTTCCTCCATGTGCTCTCTCATAGTAATCATTAGTAATCTGCAGTTATATACTTCATTTTTACTTTTTATTCTACTTGCTCTTTTGTATTACCATTTAAAAATATTATTTATGACATTTTTAGTATGCTTTCCTCTGTTTTAGAAAACCATTCTTTTTCATTTCTGCCCTCAAGGTCCCTAATCCTGGGTTTTTAATTTTATTTCTTCATGTTCTAGAACATTTCTTTGAGTAATTTATTCAAAAAAGAAGACTAGGTAGTATTGGCTGAGTTCTTACATAATTAGAAATGTCTTTTGCTGTCACAAGTGAGCAACAGTTTACTTGGATATGAAATCCTTGGGACCTTGAATTAGAGAGGTTAAAGCTAACTATTGTAAAAAGGTGATCCAAAGTTATTGAGCAAATAAGATAGAAATGTTGTTCTCTGTAATGCAGCACTTTGTTATACAATGGTCCTCAATCTACGCCTGGTAGATGCCTGTATTCCACAAGGCCATCCAGGCTGGTAGGTTCACTTCTGTTATCACATCATTTGGCTTCCATCTTTGGGTTCAAGAGGCCTTTGTTCTTCCTTGCTTCCTTCCTTTGAAATGATTTTTCAGGCTCTTTTCTAGGTTGTTTTTTTTTAATTTTTAATTTTAAAGATGTGGAGTACAATTCAGGGTTAAGTATACAAATGTTCATTATGCAAGTACTCTTGTTGATGAGATGTGCCCCACTCCCCTGGCAGAATCCCACTACTGCCAATCCTGCCCCCTCTCCCCCTGCCCCGCCTCAATTTTCCACTACTGACAATCCATTTCTTAAAGTATTACGATAATTAAGAGGTTTTTTGTTTTGTTTTGTTTTTTGAGTTGGAGTCTCACTCTGTCACCCAGACCGGAGTGCAATGGCTGCTCCCGGCCACTGCAGCCTCAACTTGCTGGGCTCTGGCGATCCTTCCACCTTAGCCTTCAAAG